AAAAAAAAAAAAAGGTTTCTATTCTCCAAAACCGTCATTTCAATTTTTCATCAGGAGGACACTGAAGAAGTTTGTGTATGCATGGTTTTCATCACAGAGATCCACTCTGTTCCTACATCTGAAACCACCTTGTGTGGCCATAGGCCGAGGACTCACACATTTCAGCAGCACCCTGAGCCACTGAGCTGGCTGTTGGGGGTGTGGCTGCAAATCTCAAATGATGGCAGGAACCAGCTGCTGACTGCTGGCTGGGGCAGGGACCAGCTAAGGTATCTAAGGTAGAGTGGTTGGTGCATTCCCTGCTGTTAGCCCTATGGAGAATCTGGAGATCACCCCACTGAGATATTTCATTTCTCCTCAATAACTGGGATGCGGGTAGGAAGTTTTACTAATGGCAGCATTTCAGTTTTCTTCCTTTCCTTCCCAGATCTCACCTAGTACAAGAGTCAAAGATCTCCCCAGACTCCCTGAGTTCAAGTCCAGACAGAAAGAGCAGAGTTGCAGTGAAGCATGTATTGTGCTTAAATATCTCACAAGCTTTTGGTCACATAGTTGCTAATTATCTGTAGGTTGAATACTTGTAGGCTGTTGTCTACAATCAAATCTCTAAAACCAAAATGTTCTTCAATTTCCTCGATATGTAAGTTTAACCACTAGGTAATAATAATTTTAAGATTGTAAAAATGTATAGCAATCATTTATTGCTATAATCACACATTATACACTGTGGTTAGGGCTTTATGTCCACTGTGTTTTTTCCTTTGCCCGATTGGTTACAGAGGGGTAAACTAAGGCTCAGACACTCTCATTAACATGTCTGTGGTCACCAGTGGGTGTTGCTGGGTTTGCAAACAAGCGGTCTCTGGTAGCCTGTAGCCCTGCGCTCTTTCATTTTTAGTCATTACTGTGTGACTATGGTTTCATTTTGTAACAGGTGAAGTTGCTCACAGCATCTCACTTACAGCTAAGTGGAGGGGACTCTTGGTAGCACCGGAATCTGAATCTTCAAAACCACTGCTGGTTCTTTCCAAAAGCTGGAGACAAAAAGAAAACAGTATGTAAGTGCAATTTTCAAAAGGAATCCTACTTGATGGATAATGATATTGACATAAATAAGAAAGGAGGCTTCAAATTTTTAAGGAATTATGTAACTTATCAGCAATGTAAGAAATTTGATAGGGTATATAAAAAAGAAATACTACTAACTATATTTCAGCTTCTAAATCAGCTCAGCAGTTGCTATTCATAAAATACTTTGAACTTGAAAAGGTGCTTAGCTTCAGAAAAAAATGTTAAATCCACTTTTCACCCATTAGATAGTAATAATGAAAAAAATGGCAATACTCAGTATTTATTCCATTATGAAACATGTATTTACTGGAGCTAGTGTAGCAAAGACATAAGAAGCTTCCATTACCATGGAGCTTATATTCTAGAGAGGGAAAGCACAGACAAGTAAACACACACACACACACACACACACACAAAGAAACTATCTGGTAAAGAAACTATGATGAAAAGAAAATAAGGTAACACAGAGTGAGTGGGAAGTCACCTTACTCCTGATGGTCAGGGAAGGCCTTTCCAAGGAGGTGAGATTTAAAGCAAGATCTAAACAACAAGACTTAAGTCAGGTAACTATGTACAGGAGAATGCACAGAAAAGAGGGAATAGGACAAATGCATCAAGTGGAAAGGAATATGATGAGTTCGAGAAGCAGAAGGAACACTGTCACCAGAGCATGTGATTGGAAGAGTTCTAAGAAAAAGATATTCTAATGGAGACTTTTGATGGAGAACAAACATTTTGGCAATATCTCTGACCTTAGGAACTAAATCCCAATGAATAGGCAAGTACACAGTGGTGTACATATAAACAAATTTATCCATTCAACAAACAGCTGATGAATGAGAACTCAGGTGCTCACTGTTTCATGCACTGAGGACACAATAATAAGCAAGACATTAAAAACCCATCTTCTGATGGTGGTGAGAAGACAATAAAAGAGGTTATGCAGTTAATTAGAAAGTGCTAGGTGCTATGGAGAAAAATAAAACAGAGAAAGAGGCTCTGGAAGGCTGCCAGGGAGGTCAGTTTGCAACTTTAAGTGGGATGAGCAGGTGATGGTCAAGCAAAGTCTGGAGGACAATATGAAAGCCTATAGGGAAGAGGACAGGGAGGGATCTGAAGGAGGGAGGAATGTGGGGGAATATGGTGATGATGGGTGGGTGATGAGGAGGAAGGGGAAGTAAACATTGGTTGAAAATGAACAATAATGTCAATAGATACATAAATACATTTTTTTAAATGTTAAAAAAAAAAAGAAGAAAACCTGTGAATATCTATGGGGAGAACATTCCAAGCAGACAGGCAGTCCAAGTCCCTTAGGGACAGGTTTGCTTACAATTATCAAGGAGACATGGGCAAGACGAACAAGGAAAGAATGACAGGAAAGGAAATCGGAAAGATGGTAGCAGAGAGGGTGGTGATTCCAAAAGGCCTCTGGGTGGTTGTAAGGATTCTGATTTTTCTCTGAGTGAAATGCAAATTCACTGGAGAGTTTTTTTTGAGAAGAGGGCTGATATGTTCTAACTTTCAGACTCTGGGAGGGCTGGAGTGGACGCAGCAACCACTGAAGATATGGGAAAACAGAGAGAATTATAGTGGCGTAGACCAGCAGGGAGCAGTGGGGAGGGAGAGCAGTTGCATTTGATTATTTCTGGAGGTAGAATCAAAGGATTTGTGAATGGATTAAATGTGAACATGAGAGAAGCAGAACAGTCAAGGATGACTCCCACGTTTTTATCCTGAGCAGAAGGAAGGATGGGTGGTCCCTGAACTGACATGGAGAAGACGGTCAGTGGTACAGACATAGTGGAAAAGAGTAGCTGAGTTTACAAATACTAAGTGTGAGTTATCTTTTCAAACATCCCAGGGTATGTGTTAACTAGAGTGGTGGACACAGAATTTGGAGCTGAGGGTATTTAAAGTCTTAGATTAGATGAGATGAAAAAGGTAGTGAATAGAGAAGGTTTAGACTGAACAGGAAAGCTAGAAAAAGCACCAAAAAGCACAAAGACCTGAAAACTAAGTGAAGAAGTTTCAAGGAAGAGATTGCATAACCATGTCAAACCTCCAGAGAGGTTGAGTAAGTGAGGTTTGACCACTGGGTTAACAACATGGAGGCTCTTTGTGATTCTGGTAAGAGCATTTACCTAAACACTATATATATATATATATATATATATATATATGGTGAAATGTAAAAAGCTAGCAATATATGGATGGGTTAAATATAATGGTCTATATCATCCCTTTAGATAAATTATCTTTGTGTTGCTGTCACATTCTTTGCACAATGATGTATCCAAAAGGAATGAAAATCTAACAGCCAGAACCTTGTATGGTGAATACTGCTACTCTAGCCTCTAGACTGTGGGCACAGGATGCCCTGTCCTGCAAAGATTGGAGCGCTAAAAACTACGTTTCCTCAACTTGCTTGGGCTAGGATTGCAGATATAATTTAGATTTTGCCAATTAAATGCACTAAATCTGAAATTTTAGAGACAGAAATAAAGCAGCTGGACATATATGATTTCTGACAGTGAGTACAGCTGTGGAGATTTTTGTTTGCATTTAATTTCCAGTGGCTAGGCCTCTAACATAGTGAGGGTAGAACAGCAAGACAGGAATCCAGGACTAGGAATACACTCATTTCTTGGCCGCGTGCAGCAAGCAGATGCTGCAGGCCAAGTCGTCCCTATGTGTTCCAGAGGGCTAAGTGCCGGTAGAGTAGCTGTTCTGTGGCTGTTTCTATTCCCTTTCTTTCTGATCAGAGAGAGAGAGCAGCTGTGCAGTTTATTAATTCAGAATCATGACTGGAGGACCCGCCCCGAGCGCCCTCTTCTTGAGAACCAACCCCACCCCAATCTTATCGACACCTGTATTTAAAAATCAAATCTTTTTCTGTAAAAAGCTAGCATTGTTTCTGTTGTCTTCAAATCAACTCTGATTGATTCAAGGAGTAATACAAATTATTATAGAAGCCTCTTAATGGGTGTGACAAAGGAGAAATTATACCACTGAATACATGAGAAAACAAAACTTCCAAAAAACCATTTTGCCCATTCATCTTTCTGAAGGTCCTAGATTTGTTAAGGGAAAAACACATTTTAAAGTCATTCACGTGGGATGATACCATTTTTTATTTTAAAAAACCTGTATTTACATGACTACATATATAGAAAAAAATGTTTAACAAAGAAATCTGAAAGTGGGATTATAGATGTTTTTATTTTCTTCCTTACCTTTACTGATTTTTTTTGCAGTGAATATGTATTTTTTTTTTTAAAAAAAGGCAAACACAAAACCTATTTCCATTTGGAACAATGATTAACTTTCCTTCTCACTTAACAGAAAGATGTTCACAGACATCTGCAGTTAAATCCAGAAATCCTTTCTAGTTAATACAAGTAGAACGAAACACAATAGTGTTAAGATTCCTACACAGATCAAATAACAGTATAAAATTTACCTTGAAAGGCACATAATTTCAAGTTTCCACATAATACAAAACAAATAATTATATTGGAAGTATATGATAGCTTGTGTTTTTCATTATTGTGAAAATAAAATTTAGGACATGACAATCTAGAATATGTTAAAATAATGAGAGTAAATTTCATTTTAGCTTCAAAGCAAATACTTTAAGCTCAATCTCCCTTACATTATTAAAATAAAAGTAGCCATATCTGTTTGAAATAGCTAGAAAACAGCTGGTCTTTGCTTTGTTTTGCAACATTATCACCTGCAAGACTTCCTGGAATTGACAGTGTGTACCAACTCCAAATCCTGTCCTAGAATAAACTTTTAATTAAAAGAACACAGAATCATTTCCACCATTATCACAAACACAATGACACAGGCAAGAAGACAATATGTTCTTCATAGCCACAAACTAGGTATGTTACCACATTTATTAAGGAATAAAAATTTTCCACACCTTTGATCATTTAAATAGTATGTAATGTTTTACTTCAAGCATTCACCAAACATGTACTGAATTCATCTCTGTGTATGACCCTCATTTAGGCACTCGGATTCAAGGGTGCAAGGAGCAAATGCAGTCACTGATTTGAAAGAGCTGAGAGGCTGATAGGGGCTCTGTAGTGAGGTAAGAACTAGGATGGAGAAGTGCAAGATGCTACAGGAACATGAAGAAGAACCTGACATGAAACTTTGGGGGGAAGAGAAGACAGCTCTCTAAAAAAGGGGTTAGCCTAAAATCTAGTCTGTAGGGGTCAGCCAGGAAAAGAGAATAGGGAATTTTCAGGCAGAGCAAGAGCATGTGAGAACAGCGAATACAAAAAATTGGAAAATCTTTAAGTTCATTAAGGCTAGATTAGCATATAAGGATGAGGAAGGAATAAATAATACGAGGGGAGGAATGGAAAGAGGAGAGAAATTAGGGGTAGGGTGATCACGGCATTGTTAACCAATCCGAATTCTTTTTTAAATTTTTAAAAGATTTATTTAATTATGCATACAGAACTGGGGTACATGCCAGAGGTGCAGGAGTGGTGAGAGGATTCACCAGAGACAGTAAGGAGCAGAACAAGCAGATCAAAGAAGTACACTGTTGAGGGGAGCAGCAGGTGGGTCAGGAGAGGTCTGCTGCACCATGTGGGTCACCTCTGGGGCAAGGATCGAACTCATGCTGAAGTGGCTTTACCTTCTTACTGCTATGCTTTAACCCGCTGTGCCAACAGGGAGGGCCCCCAATCAGGATATTTTTAAGGATGAAAACTATGTTGGGACAACAGTGGTAAACCAGGACATCAAATTAGAATAAGCATTCTGAGTCATTGAAGGGCCATAAGCAGGAAAGAGGCATGATAGTGATCAATTCTTGAGTGTAATAAAAATTGCTCTGGCTGCAGTATGGAAAATAACTCTAGTGGGCCTGCTAATGGGACCACAAACCTAGTAGTTAATATAATTCCCTGTGGAATATCTAAATTATCATTCACTAAGT